ACTACTACCTCCACTCGCATCCATACCACACCCAGCCTATTTATCATACACAATGGGACGCAATTCCACGACATTTCAGGAGGGAAATGAGCTCTTCGAGTGTGAATCCACCGCTAGAAGGCACAACTGGTGTGCCCAGCAAGGAAAAGCCACTCGCAAACAGTCCACCGATCGTCATTCCAACCCCCACAGACTCGACACAATCGTACGTACACTTGTACTGGTCTTTTTTCGTCGACGCGCTTACATAATTTGCTCATCCTGCGCGTGCCACGGACTTTATGAATTAGGAGTGGAAAGGCAGAGTCGAATCGACTACTACTTGATAGTGCACACCCTGGATCGGCACCTCCACCTCCACAAGTACAACGAACGCGACCCCGACTGCGGGCTAGCAAAGCCGCCATGACGCTCGTACGTCCCCCCCCCTTCAAAACTTTGAATATACTCACACTCACACTCACCCCCCCTAGACACCTACTGCGGTGACACGTCTAAGGACACTATTGTCCGGTCCAACCCCCCAATACATACGCGTGGGTGTACGCAATAAAGGGTGTGCGGGCATGTCGTATCACCTCGAGTACGTCGACAAACCCAGCAAGTTTGATGAGCAGGTGGAGCAGGATGGGGTCAAGGTGCTCATCGATTCCAAGGCGCTGTTTAGTATCATTGGGAGTGAGATGGACTGGGTCGAGGATAAACTGAGGTGCGTCATGGTTATTGTTATTGTTTTTGGTGCTGATTGTGGTGTAGCTCCAAATTTGCGTTCAAGAATCCGAATGTCAAGGATGCGTGTGGGTGTGGAGAGTCGTTCAACGTGCAGCCTAGCATTGACTCGTAATATACAACTCGCAATAATGAATTTTTCACCGCTCAATAGAGGCATTTGGTTTGTATCATTATCACTCGATGTAATGCAATATCTATACATCAAATCTCTAAAGGTCAAACTGTGTGCAAGTAAAAGATCAAACTCTTCCCATCTATACACGCGCTCTTCTACAACCGAACCTAGCTGTCCAAACACATTTTTAAGATTCATATGGTCTCACCTCAGTCCTGACCGAGGAACTCTATCCCATCGCTTCCCCTGTGTCACCCACGGCACGGCATGACCCCGACCCCGAGAGGGAAGAAAAAAGAGCGCTGCAGGGTAGCAATGTTACGAATATTCTCGGTCTTTTGCAAAAGTCTTGTCGACAGAATTGGAAGGTGTGAATTGAGATACAATCCAAGTTTAGGGTAGTCTCTGGAATTGCTGATTCTAGTTTGTGCTGAAACAAAACCCGAATGGGATATATGAACACTAGCCGAGATCACAATAGACGGAATAAACAATAGAGTGTGAGTAATATTGGAATATTCAGGTCCGAGAGTATGTCAACGGCAAACGCCATTCTCTTCCCGTATGCCATTTCAATTGGCGTCTTGGCACCAATCTCAGCAGTAAAAAAAGAGAAAACCAATTTTGTAATATTTCGTTGTAAGAGAAGATCAATTTTGTGATGATTTATTATTCGTGGATATGGATGTGGAGATTATTAGACTAGGGTTTGCAAGGCAATGGGAACGGTGGCACGTGCATGTCTTCTCTGATGAACCTCAAAGACAAGGGCAGAGGGATGGATACGCCCACAATCCAGGCCTCCAAGATAACCTGTAAGAGAAGAATATGTTCAATGGTTCATTTTACAAGAGGAGTACATGATCGAGGGGATCTACACCTCCTCTTCTCTCCGAACTGAATGCTGGGATCGGTTGCGCAGAGGGTCGAGGTTGTGTTTAATTCGTGTTTCATGTTAGGTAACCTTAACGGTTATCTAGCTGTGACGGTTGTAATGCAGCGCTGCGGTTGGTCGACTAATATTCGACAATCTTCCGAGGAACGACGGGGATCAGACGC